TCAATAGAATATGTAATTCGCCATACCAGACGTTGTCTGAAAGTACATTTTGCTGACGCAGTTTATTAGTTAATAGGTCGATAAACTCCTTACTCTTTAGTTTCATATGTTTTTTTTTTAACATTACACCGTGTACATAATTTAAATGGTTTGGTGTTTACTCGTTAATTAAATTAACAATAGAAATTTTCCGTTTAAATGAAAGCCGTTCGAAATTTTTCAGACATAATTCGAACCGAGTGGCGACACAATCGCGAAAAATACCAAGTGTAAATGTGCAAAAATGAAGAGTTCTTTAGAAACTAAAAAAACATATAACAATAGACTTATCTGTTTGACTAGCCGATAAATGTTCTGTGTTATCTTTGTTAATATTAGAATTGAATCGATTAGAACGTGTAAGATAAAAAACTTATGACGTTGTCGTAAGTGGCACAGTAAAATAAGATAATGTTATATTCACATCAAAACGTCAAACGGCTCGAGTGGTTTATTACTGCAGTGACTTAGATTAATCATAAAACGTTTTTTTTCTCTCGAGTGTAATAAAAAAATAATGCAAAACTATACTGTTGTTGTGTACGTCCATTGATCGATATTTCTACGATATTATTGTTGTGATCGGCGAAACGGAATTCTTTGGGTAAAAAAAAAAAAATTCTCGTATGAATAATCTCACTTGCCTAGAGCCCTTAGCGGCGATATTAAAATAAATAATAACATGTAAAAACGTTTGCACGTGTCATGAACGCGACACTGCGTTGACAGCATAACACAGTGTCGGCCTCAGTACATGTTAAAAGATAACGTCTATGGGCACGTCGCATCTTACGCGCAAAACTTAGACAGCTATTAATTTTTTCTCCTGATAAAGTCATTTGTCCAGTAAAACAAATTACCTTGTCGGTTTATTCAAAACGTTATCATTGCGTTTGCGAAATTATTATTATTATTTTTTTAAATCACTTCTCTACCAATGGCAATCCTCTTATGACTATCCGAAGAAATTCCGTTAGGATTATTGTCCGGAAAAATAACAGTGAAATACTTTTCTTTTGTACAGTCGCGGCGGTTTTTTTATTCGCCCGGTGTATATTGTTATAGTTTGCCTACAGTTATTAACGCGCCGCGTTTTCGGTCCACTAATGACACCAAAGCGTTTACGAGTCGAGAGCAACGTGGCGTACGTGCGACAGGTAGTCGGCGGCTGTTAGGTAATAGTCAATACCATCGAGTTTGCATTTGACTCAAAAGACGTGTTCCCAACAAACGGTTCCGTCCGAAATGACCTAATACTGTCCTTTCGAATCCTGTGCACAAATGAAAAAATTGTACGTCGGTGCGAGTCTCGCACGAATTGTACACAACAATTTTACTCTGTCAATGGTAACACTAATTTCCAGACCTGTTCTCGGGAATTCGAACCCAATTTAACAGCTGTGCGCCCTATGCGGCGGCGTGTAAACGTTTGCCGCGGGACACGATTCCATAATGATTATTAACGAGCGGACAGACAATGTCGTCGGCCGAATATCGATAATTGTCGCAACTGTGAATCGAGAATGTGTCACAACCGGCAGATCGGTACGTGAACACTGTCGCGATGGCCGGCGGTTGCGACCTTGTTTTGCGGTCGTACAAAAGTAATTATCGACGACCCATTAGACGGTTGTGTGATTCATTAATAACCGAGCAGCCCATCATGTTTCAATAACGAAATGGCCGTTGAAAATTGTACAATCGCATTTTTTATTCATCATCACAAAATCCCATTATGCCATCGACTGTCGCNTCATCATCACAAAATCCCATTACGCCATCGACTGTCGCGAGGAGGCCGTACGTTTTTCCGATCGGCAATCGCTAAACTAAACGGTTTTCGTTTTGAATTCCTTTCCAGTCTCGTTGACACTACACGCCAATGTATGTTTAAGTGTCATGCGTTCGTCTATAAAGTTTATAAGTAACGGTTGTAAAGCGGAAAATAATTGATCTCGTTGGGCTCTGTGCGTTTGGAGCTCGTGTACGGAATTTGATCGGCAACTAATTTAATACGAGTTATTGAAAGTTTCTAGCGGTTTCTTCTGACACAAATTATGTTGCCAGATACCAGTTTTTACCGCGAACGCAGTTTGTTCACGCCGTTATCTGTCGTGCCATATTTCATCCGTTTATTATTTTTTAATTAATATAGATTGCTCCGATCCATTCTCGTCTATGATGTATTTTCTTAAATAAATCCACTTGGGTGCGCTGCACATACGCTGTAGCTAAATTTTGTTTCGAAAAAATTGTCATCACTGTAAGAGCGATTTTCTAGTCGAGATTGTTGTTGAATTTACTAAACGGTATCGTAAATGTACTTGCGATTGGTTGTAAACACCACGAAAATCGTACACGATTCGATTGTTTTCACAAATTACTTTGGTAAATGTTCCTACGAGCAATGGCCGTGTAAAAACGGATTGAGGGACCGTTAAATGATCATTTTTTCCTGATCATTTGTCCAGTTCCCCTTCATCTCGTCTCCAATCGGATTTAGTCGTGATTGGACTCGTCAAAGGCGTTTCCACGACAAGATGTCGGTGACCGTTGAAGACTAACGCGTTAAAAATGGCGTTAAACTCGCCAACACGGCCTTATCAAATCAAGGCGATCGCGTTTCTCTCAAAAGCGACGGGGAAGGTTTTTTGTGCGGATTGACAGCGCGCACCGCATAATGAACTTGTTAAAGTTCCATCAGTCATTTGTAATCGTTTATAAAGCTCTCTTTAAGTTCAATTATGTTTAGTCCGGCAACTTTTTAGTCGGTCGCTGCGTTTTAGTTTAAGTAGCCATAACATTATTACTTATTCAGTGATCAACTTTGATAGAGTGGTGCACTCCCTCCGTTGCATCTCGGCGATAGCCTTAAATACCGTGATTAAAAGTAACCTCCTCCTCCTCGTGGTCGAGCGGGGGGGGGGAGCCTTTCCAAACTCGGCAGAACTTTGGCAGAGAACGTCCTTAACCGCCGTGTCTCACGTGGAGTACCCGCCAACCCGATAGTCTTTTAAGATTAATTACACTTTTGGGTCACGTTACGCGCTGCGGTTATGAGTTTTTTGTATGCATCAAGTACGTTTAATCGTGTTACGCGTATATGTTCATTAGGCGTTTTTTGATTTTTATAAAAAACAATATTTACAAATTCTATTTTGTAAAATTAGCAGCGCACACCGAGACACACTCGACCTAGAAGTTGTGACCGTGACGTTTTATCGCGAACAAATAACTCGACCAAGGAAAATATGATTTGTTTTCGGTTTCGCACGTCAACGCTTTGAAGTATTTGCAGATACGAAAATTGTGTTTAAATAGAAACACGAACACGCCGACAATTCGGTCATATTTTGTTGTCGCCAATCGATAGAGACTAGCGAGCGTTTGGAATTGTTGTAGTATTGTTCGATTAAAAAAAATAATAATAATAAAAAAAACCTGTTACGCACGTCGGTGTGTACATAATTTAGTTTTCGGTACACCGGACCGTTACTTTTATTGCGGGTACACAAAATGATTAATTATTTACTGGGACGACGGCACATTCTTCGGGGAGGTTTGAAAATCGATGCGTTCGCCGTTTATGAATGCAAATTATTTCCACGTACACGTTTAGTACAGTAATGAGTATTACGGTGTGAGCCACATCGGGCCCCCTCGGACCCAAGGGGTGGGCACTGACACGGACACGGAACGTCGTGTCGTGAATATTACCGTTTAAATGTAATATTAGTCCACCCACAACACGAGAAAAACGTATCGTAACGTTTTCAAAGTTGTGTAATCGATCGATTATTGCAACAGTTATTGAGTGTGTGTACCAACGGCCAATTTAAAATCGAAACGGGTTTGACCGTTTTTCTCTCATTTTTATCTCTCGCCTGTTTATCGCCGTTGGAAATAATTATTTCGACGTTGGTGGAATCGATTTGCTTTCGAGTGTTTTTTACTCATATTGGATGACCCCGACGGGGTCAAGACGATTGCGGTCGTGTCTTGTATGATATGATGCTGCTGCCGTACAACAGTTACCCGCAGCATTTTTAGTAAACGGCAGCTTTTATTTCAGTTTCCTCCGTTTTCATCGCCTTCCACTCTCGCCCCTCTCCACGAATACTAGTTTAATGGCCGTCGATTAACGGAAAGGCGGCGGCACACGCACATGACTTTCGTGTTTATCAAATACCGGCGTATGGTCATGTTTTTATTTCGACTTAAAATTATTTTATGAAACGACTACATACAAACGTAGTTTTTTATCGCGAAATGTGCCGTCGTCGACGAGAGCGCAGTCGGAGGTAGAGGCGTCGTCGCATACCCTTTAGCTCTCTCCGCATTGTGCGTGTGTGCCTTTAAATGTTTGTACAACCCGTGACCCGAAAATTTAGATCTCCGTCACTGTATTTCGGTCCCTCCCGGCCGGCAGCCGCGTGTCCGCACGGCCTCAGTTCGCCATAGGCCAGTGCGTCTTTACCGTATTCGTACCGAGCAAAGTGACATAATTGAGTTGAAATCCCTGTCGACTTGGCAAACTCGGCGTTTTCTATACGATATGACCCGCTGTGTGCCTCAGGTAGACACGTTATTTGACATAGGTTTTTATTTTATTTGCGGCTGAAGGTACAACACGGGACGGAGGTAGAAAAAGAGGGGGAAAAAAACGAGAGTCGACTGTCAGTTTTCAGAGGGCTTAGTTTCATCTTGTCTCCCTCCTTTAGAAACATCAACGCGACTTATGACGGCTATTTAAATGAGTGAACGATTTTTAGGCGGCCGGGTGTATGAATTTACTCGCTATTATTAGCGTTGCATCTAATTTATTATAAATTGGATAAATTATGGAGCTCGCGACCAATACTCGTTATACATGTCGGGGCGGTAGGCGATTAGGTTCAAGTTTACTAAGAATATTAATTAAAACGATGTTTTGTAATAATGATGTTGTTATTTTGTTTCAGTTTTGGAAAACGAACCGGAGGCAGCGCTAGGCGGCCTAACGAATGCTTCGTGTTGGAGCCTTCGGAAATGTTGGTGGTAAGTGTTTTTTTTTTTTTTTTCTGAGAAAAATGTCGAGTAAAAGCAATTGTACGTGTAGGTAGAGCATTTCGAGCAGAGCGCATCATTACTGTAGGAACGCTGTTATCTTCTTTGTTCGCGTCCTTTTTTGTTGTTGTTGTCGGCTTTTTCCCCTTGAAAAATACAACGTAACTTATAATTTGACCGGTAGTGCATCAGGGAATTCTTTTTGTACTGGTACTATTGGCTGTAGACCGTAATCGAGAAAATGTCGATTTTGCGCTCTATCAATTATTTTTAACAATGTTTACTGTTAAAAACACTCTTTAGAAAACTGAAAATAGCATTAAAAAATAAAATAAAACGGGTGNAAACTGAAAATAACAGTAAAAAATAAAATAAAACGGGTGTCCCGACCAACTATAAAATTGCGAATATTTTCGAGCCGCGTTAAAGTTATACTTGCTCGAGTTAACTTGGAAAATCGCTGGCAGTGTATAAAATAAGATCATAAAACGTATTTGCTGTGCTCTTCTATGTGTCTCGCTTTTGCTGTTGCCATTCCGTGTCGGATTTTATCGCTCTTTATGGTTGAATGATCTCTGCTTGTAGAACATTGGTTGGCGTTTTTTTTTTTTTTAATTTAATTCTTGGTTTTTGAACTCCACACGCGCGGGTATGATGACAAAAAAAAAAGATAGCAACACAAAAATCGGTCTCGCTGTTGATGGTTTTTCAAAGAATGTTATGTCCCTATACGACGTCATAAGGATCTCGATTCTGAGGTGTTACATCGAGATATGTCACCAGAGATATTATCTTTGGTGATCTGTAGGCCTTTGAGTGTCTTTTGAATCGTTATTGCTATTTCTCGAGTGCTCATTTTACGCCCATTGACCATCGATACTTGTGATAACGTTTCGTTTTAATTTGTTATTATTTCATTACTCTAAAAGCGTGTTCGTATTGTTTTAAGCAAACGACTGACGTTTGGAATAAAGCCACTGGCGCGTTCAATAACTCTGAACCCTTTGTAGCCTTAGAAATAAAATCGCGCGCATTGGTCTGTTTTTTATTTTGATTATTTCAACCTTCAACTGGTGTCCCTTTTCATTGTTGGCTCGCATTGTTACAAATGACGATAATTATTACGACCATCGTCGTGTAAGTAATTAAATTAACATGCCAAGTTGAGTAATTTTATTGTACTTTGGCGTTTCGTTGTAATGAAGCATAATGTTTTTATGGGTCTCGAATAATTGATATTTAATCGATAAAATGTTTGACGTTTATCTTTAAATGTCCATTATACTCTTATTCTGCCTACTCGGTTAATTTAAATTATAATGATAGTCTGTTTATTCTCACGAACTGATCATTTCGTCGGATATACAATGTATAATGCAAATTATCTGCTAAAAAATATGAAAGGTATTGTTAATAAACGCGGTTCGTTTGCGTGCAATCATTAGATAAAATAAGTGTAATCGTTATTTTTATAACAATTACATTTATGTGTATAGAATGTTATGAAAAGGGCATAGGTCTTGTGCGTTATGGATGTAAACCATACGAGTAATTTCTTTATTGTTAACTGGTGGACTTGGGCGATTCTAAATTTTCTATTTCAATTATTATTCACTCTACAATGGTGTATTACACCAAGTTTATATTAAACTCTAATAATTTATTACTAAACTTTATAACGCCTACGAAAAACAAACTGACCTTTATTTTTTTTACTGAGCAATAAAAAACATTACCGCACATTAAACGTGTTCGTCAAACATCAATCTTAACTGCCCTTATAATTTAAAGATACAAAAAAAAAAAAGAATTATAAACATTGGATTTTTAATTGTGTTTTATAGAATCGTATTCTTAGCAGTACTAAATAGATATTTTATTCGCGTTAAAAATAAAAACAGTAAATCGAACGTTATTATAATGAAAAAAAATTACATGCCCTGGAAGCTTATAGAATATATATTTATAATTTTTTAGTAAAAATACTTTTGACATTTCCACGAAAACGTTATTATAATCTATACTCTAGCAAAATTAATTGAAATAGTATTTATTTAATATCCACCCCATTGGTTACGTTAAAGAGGCATACTAAAATTATCAACGTTACTGTAAATTGAAATTTCAAAAAAATAATAACAAATCGGTTAAGTCCAGGTATTAAATGTCATTTTATAATGATCTACAAAGTACACCTAACTGACAGTTTTTAATTAAAAAAAAAAACCGTTTTCTTTAGTGTTGTCTATTTAGCTGAGATTTGAACGAAAACACAAACCAACTGTCATTAAAAGTTTTTCCGTTTTGTTATTATCAAACTTGATTACGTATTAGAAGATAAATGTTTTCTTATTTTTCAATTTCGGTTTATTTTTGTGAAAACTTGTAAGACTTATAAACTTTGTTGACATAAGCCGATCGAGATTTGTCGTGTCTTGTTGTGATGTCCAGGAAGTCGAGACTGATGCTTTTTGGAGGGATGACCTATTTACAATAATATTATTCTTCTTAGTTCATTTGAATCAAACGCCGCTTTCGTTATTTTTGTTTGTTGATTTTCGCTTGCTCGTCGAAAAATAAACTTTTTCTCGGAAAAAAAGGAGAAAAATATCTCCATAATTTAAGGCCATGAAAAAAACAATGTTGGAATTACAAAAATCTTTGTCGTCGCAAGACTTGTACCGAACGCGTGAAAACATATTTTCAAATAGATGACTCACGCCGTCAACATCAACTATTAAAATTTTCTATTATGATAATATACATGTATGTGTTTATTTATAATGTGTGTGATTTGTGTAATGGAACACATTTGTGTGTGATTCATGTACGACAGTATGAAGTCAGTAGGACTTCCGCTATGAAGCTAAACAACAAATTTTACCTTAAAAAAATCAAATATTATGATTGTTAATGACGGGAAACGGAGCGTAGAGATGAAAAACGGCCTAGGAAAGAGCGGTGGAAGGGCAAAGGGCGTTGATCCAGTCGCCGTCGTCGCGATCAGCTGTTTTCGTAGTCCATCGTCATTTTTTATTGTTTGAATATAATAATTATTATTCACGTCAACGACTGTTCGTTTTTCTCTGCTCAGTCGATCCAATGACACGAACGATTTTTCAACCAAGCTCGTGTAACTCGTATTACGCACACATACCATTAGTATTATTATTTTTATTGTTTGAATTGATGTACACTATTATAGGGACACTTGTTCTCTTTTCTTCCGACCGGACGACCATGCGGGTGGGTACACACTGTATAATCTCCGTACGATATTTCCATTATGGTGTGCTCTCTTCGGTATTGTTCCGACGGGTGTAATGCGGTCGAGTAATGTGCATCGTTTTATAGACATTCTCCAATATCGCCGACAGCTGCTTGTGGTGTTGGTCGGATGACGGTAATTTCTTTTTTTTTATACTTTCTTCCCATATAGTTCGACAAAGTGCGGCTAGTGCTCGTGTGCGTACGTTTGCCGAGAAAATTCGGCGACCGAAGTGTTCGGTTGGGGTACGTTTTCGATTTCAGACTAAAAACGGGAGAAAAAAAAAAAGTTTTCTTGATTGTCATCGTGCCATTGTCGGCGATTTTCTTCCGAGCGCGTTTTCTTTATTTTCGATAGTCAATCGCCTTTGAATCAGTGACAGAAAAAAAAAATCATTTCCTCCTTACGTCACTTTATTGTCTCTAAGTGGTCTACACCCCCTCCTCCGATATTTATTAAATATATATATATATAAATAAATACAAGAGAGAAGGTTAAGCACAATATTGATCCAACAACGGAGAAGAACGAACCACCACAAAGCTGTGTAACGGCAGACACCCACGCATTGCGCTCATTTATACCGAAGCCCACCGCCGCCTCAGCCAGTTACCAACCACCCGGCACGACCGACGTCACTTGCCTTTTTCTGCCTTTCCTCATTCATCTGCCCCCTCCCTCCGATATCATTTCCTCGTGGTTTCTGTGCGTCAATGTTTTTTTCTTGTTATATACACGATTGCTCCTACCGTGGTCATTTATCTTGCATCCGCTTGATCCCTTACTTCAGTTCAGTCACCCGTGTTGTATTCTATTTTGTTTTTAACATTATGATATTAAATAAGTAATAACAACAATATTATGAACCCGACCGCCAGTAGTGTTGATTATGTAGAAGCAGTTTAAGGGTCCTGACGCAACAGGAGAGACGATTGCTTTCACTGCCAAGCGCCCCACAGTAATTGTTTTTTTGAACTTTTTTTCATCCCATTTAAGGCCATTAAGACTCGCCGGTCGGTTCGGTAAACATTCATTAAACGTCCAATGAATCAATGATCGAAATCCATCGAACGAATAATTGGTATTCGGTACAAAGAAAAAAACAACATATTTCATTCGCTATTGTATTAAATTTTATCCCTTTTCACCGCCGTACACATTATTTAAAGTACTCTATAAATCAAATTTTAAGCCGAAAGAGTGCATTAAATAATACTACAAGCTCACTGAAAGTTTTTAACGACCATTTTTATATGCTAACTCTATTTTTATGTACATTATTATAAAATCGAAAAAAACATACGTTCCATTGAATATTTAAATTCAAGTTTCGGACTAGAAAATAGATCAAATCTATCAAAGTCAAGGTATTTTACAAATTTTATAAATAAACCACTGCGAGATGGTTTTCAAATGTGTTTTTATTATTAAAACTCAATGCATAATCGTATTGGTTTTTTATTAAGACGAAAAATGTACATTTTTACATGGCCGCTGCATATTCTAATAATCAATTATTTAGGCTTACACGTAAAAAAAATGTATTCTAAATAACAAAGAACAATAAAATTATTATAATGCGGTCGTGGAAACCGGACCGGACGGTTAAAATTACACTTTTTATTGATATATTAAATTATTTCTGCGTTCAGTGAATTCAATATCGTAATTAAAATAATTAGACGACTCGGATTTATACCCTTACAGCCGCGCCTCGCGTACAAACCACAGTATTGATAAATAATTTAGGCACTCGGTTGTGAACTCAGATAAACCCACACTACAGTGCAATTGAACTATTATTGTATTTTATTTATCATACATCACAGGAACGCGAAATAACAGGCAACGTTCGAATACAATATGNGAAATAATAGGCAACGTTCGAATACAATATGTAATGTACAGTACACTGGATGCGTGTGTGGAAATGTGGGCTGAATTCCATGGTCTGGTCGTTCATTGTTATTGCTTAACGACGAGACATTGTGGTGTATGGTGTACACGCATTGTGTAAATATTTCAATTTGAAGTAAAGCAAAATTAATAAGATTTTATTTCATTTATTCGTTAGTTTGATGGCGGTTCATCACGCATGGTGCAGAATAAAATTAATAGTAAAACTTTTTAATTGTGCAGGAATTTCTAATGAATCGAGAGTTTCGAATCGGATTAAACTGTCGGATGAACTTTTACGTTTGATTGAGACGTCTAATTATTTTTGCTCGACAAATTTTCAAATAATTTTACCAGTATATTATATGGCGCGTTGTGTTGTTTTTATCGTGGCTTTTATGAGCACTCCATTAAAGTGTGCGCTTACTGCTCCTAATTGATTTCTTTCTAGACAGTTTAAAACATTAAGTATGTAAACACTGCGAAAAAAAAAAAAGTCGAGCACTTTTTACTCTACTGCCGAAGGAATTCTGTCCATTTTCTGTTGATTAAATATTGATCCGAGTAAGATTAACTCGTAGGAAATAAGCAAGTACTATTATTACTTAAAGACTCGTTTTAATGCAAGAGAAATAGCAAAGTAACAAATAACACCGGTGGGCGTTTTTGGTATTCAGTTTTAGACACCACAAGTGTAAGTAAAAGTGTATCCCTTTGGCGATTACATCTACATTAAGTAAAAGCTCACCGACCTTTGACATGCCGCAATAAACAGGAGCGCTAATATAAGTAACAAAATTCACTCAAAGTCGTGGCATTTCACATTGGACTAAAATTATACGTATGAATTTATAAGGCCTCATAAATAGCGCTAGTTTTTTTTTAAATAGAACGTTTTGTATTCAAATTAATGGCTGTAAAATTTAGTTTTACCGTCGTTGTAATTGTGTTCTGCTGTCACAACGCCATAAAAAAAACGTGGCCTCCGTCTGTTGGCTGACACGGGAAAAAATTTGCGATTCCGTTCAGCATCAAAGATTTCAACGCTAATTCAGTCATATTATCGGACAATATTATTTAGAGAGTTCTAAAAATAGTGAAAATAATTAAAAATCTAGAGCATTTCAACGTATGATACGTACATCCCCATTCGGTATTTTATCGTTTATGTTTAATGTAGCGAATGATTGACATTCGGCGGTTAGTCGTGTCTGTGCTATATGTTGGCAATTTCATTTTGTTTTCCTCCAATTGTGATTGTCAACCGAGCGAAGTCTGTTGATAAATTCACATCAGACACTCTTTAGACGTTCAACTTTTTAAGATTATGATCGTCGAAACATTCTGTAGTAATTTGGGGTTGCGCGAACCGTATTCTTAACCGTGTGCGAAAGGACGAACAGAATGCTGCACAATATTCAGCCGTCTATACCCGTAGCTAATTACCTTTTTTAGCGTTCCAATTGACTACAGCGCTGTTGACGACGAATTACCTCGCACAATATCCTATTTTAATTTATTATTGTCCGGTATCAACTGTCGACAACAGCTCCTACAGTATCACTAAGTCACACGTTTTATGGAATTTATACGGTAGTGATGTGCTCACCGATAAGTACAACACCCTCATTGATGGAGTACTCGCGGAAGGCCTTCCGTTGGCGGCGAGTACGGATTTAGTTTTGGACGGAATACAATAAAGTTTTAGAATCGCCAACGACAAAACCTTTCTGGTTATTTATTCACGGGGTTTTTGAGCGCCCTAGTTCGTACTTGGAAGCGACGCGGCTGTTTCATTATAATAGATTAAATGTTATGTATATAGGTCGTTACACTAAGTACATAGATATTCTATTGTAGCGTTTGAGGATAATAATGTTCGAGTTCTGCTCTCTATAGGCAACGCCTCGCATTCAGCGCGCTTTACGCTTGAATGTTTAGGCTACGGTTGTTGTGTCGATGGAAACTTTCATAAAAATTGGGTTTCCAAATTCGATCGAATCGTATTTTGTCAGAAATACAATTAAGTTGCAATTCGTTTCGATCGTGTGACCGGATGTCGACCATTATAATATATGTATAATATGCGCTGTACAGGGCGTATGCGCGTTTGTTGTTGTGCTCTTCGTGTCAACTCATGAAGAGCACAACAAATACAATGCCGCCGCAACGTGTATTGTATGCGTGTGTCTGTATGGAACGCTGCAGTTTGTCCTTGTCCATCATTTGCGCGCCTGTCGTTTTCCAGAAACAGAAATTAAATGTCGTTGTTTTGCCAGCACAGTTTTATTAGCACACGAGTCTGATGTGTAAACTTTGGTCGGAATCGTGCAAGTGAAATGCATCATCGATGGTCGGCATTTATCCCGTCGATGTTGTCGTAGTGCTTCCGGGTCACATTTTGCGTTGTATTTTCGTACCTTTTTGTTTAGTCTTCGAAATTGAGCAGTCAAAACCCATGACTAATTATATTGTGTTTTAGATGGATTATGCAGACTCCCAAAGCGGTTTACGCTCAGTGAGTGCTTCCGTCCCTCGGTACACCGGTATGGAACGTGGCGGAGCTATCAATCTTGTATTCGACGACAGCGTAAGTGTTAAATCCATCTTCATTATAATGCATAGTGTATGAATTTGTGTGTGCGGTTCGCTTGATTAAACGGACGTATCAAAAGTTCACGAGTTTCGGATGGGAAAAAGAATAATCCGCTTGTTTTTTCAATCAGGCATTACGCCCGATTGAATCCATTACGGATTCCTTTTGAATTCTGATGTAAATTCTTAATGTTTATTTTGAAATTGAAACTGATGTGATTGATAAACGATTTAACGGTTTTAGTGTACATAATTAATGAACCGCACGCACGTGTCTCTCAGAAGTTCACTTCTGTACTTACAGAAGGTTTTAGGTTTTACTGTACATTCAATGTGTAACCAACACTATTTTTGCTTTGTAGTACTGTGCTGCGATTCGACCTGAATTGTATCAGAAGAGCAACCGAAGCTCGCACAGTTCGGACACGAGTTCCGCGTATTCGGGCAGCGACACCATGACCAGCGTACACTCGGGCAGTGTGTCGGTGGAGGCCGATGAAGTGGATTTGTCGGGACTGGTGGAGTCCATTGTAGACTCGGACGAAGATGACTTGGGCGATAGTAGCGAGAGCCTGACGGTGCGCGACACGGTACGCGAGTGTCTCGAGAAAGACCCGTCTGAAAGGTCAGAAGACGACGTCGAGGTGCTGCTCGAGTTCACGCAGCACTTGAAGGCGTTTACCAACATGACGTTGGCCGTACGGAGGGCCCTATGCAGCGTTATGGTGTTCGCTGTGGTCGAAAAGGCCGGCACGGTAGTGATGAACGACGGCGAGGAACTAGATTCGTGGAGCGTACTCATCAATGGTCACGTCGAAGTCGAGCACGTTGATGGTGTACCCGACCAGCTGCATATGGGCGACAGTTTCGGTATCGTACCTACAATGGAGCGTCTGTATCACAGGGGTGTTATGCGTACCAAATGCGATGACTGCCAGTTCGTGTGCATCACCCAGACGGACTATTACAGGATACTTCATCAGGGCGAGGAAAACACCAAGAAACACGAAGACGACGATGGCAAGTTGGTCATGGTTACCGAACAAAGAGGCACTCTGGAGGCCGGAAGACGGGGTCATGTAGTTATAAGAGTGAGTATTTACAATATTTGTAACTCCTAGGGGTGCGATTGTAGGGTTTCGTCACTCGATCGATTATGAATAAAAATCATTATTATTGTAGGGAACGCCAGAAAGACTGATGCTTCAATTGATCGAGGAGAACTCGGTTATTGATCCCACATACGTAGAAGACTTCCTCTTGACCCATCGTACTTTTATTAAAAATTCTATGGAAGTAGCAAACCAACTGTTGAATTGGTTTAGTGAACCGTCCGCCAGAGATCGGGTCACGAGGGTAGTTCTTTTATGGGTCAACAATCACTTTACGGATTTTGAAATGGACCCTGTTATGATGGAATTCGTGGAAAAGTTTGAAGCGTGCCTGGAAGAGAACAAAATGAGTGGACAAATGCGATTGTTAAATATTGCATGCGCCGCAAAAGCAAGAGCCAGGTGCGTCACATTGGCCAGACCGTGTCGAGATCAGGTGCTACACTTTTCCATATTAGGAGGATACGAAAGAGGATTCGGCATATTTATATCCAAGGTAATCAATTATTTATTCTTTATTATGCGAATACAGTGAAGTAATAAAGTATTTCGTCTGCAGGTGGACAAGGGTTCAAAAGCAGAAGAAGTTGGTCTTAAACGCGGTGATCAAATTTTGGAAGTCAATGGACAGAGCTTTGAACATGTAACCCATACACGAGCTTTAGAAATTCTTCGAGGGACCACTCACTTAAGCATTACTGTAAAATCAAATCTTTTGGGTAAGCACATTTAAATTTATTTTTTCTTGACATAGTTTTGTGAAGTTTTAATTTTATATTAATTATTTTTTATAGTGTTCAAAGAAATGCTGGCCACACCAGATAATTCTCCTAGAACGAGAAATCGTCAAAAACAATCGGTCGAAATTGCCCGGCTTCAAGATGATCCTCGAGCACGGCCGTTACTCACTGCCAACCTACCTCCTCCTATTCAACAACCAATTAAGACTTCCACTGTTAATACTACTTCAGCAAACTCGTCTAGTGGAGGAGGCTTTATGACCCTAGGTCCTAAAAAACGTTTGCAGCGAGCTCTAATGAAGATGAATATTCTCCCAAAAAATATCATCGGGGGTGACGTGTGTGATGATAGCTCCGTTTCGGTGTCTGGCAAATCTGATACTAGCTCAAATTTTAAACAGTCTCATAGCCATCCAGATCTCACGTCTATGTCTTATTTGGATGATCCACGAGCAATGGCTGCCGCCGATTATCCTGAGCATGTACTCAAAGTTTATAAACCTGATCAGACTTGCAAATATCTTCTAGTGCATAAAGAGACAACAGCCCATGAGGTGGTCATGCTAGCATTACAAGAATTTGGTATCACTGAACCAAGCTCAAACTTTTCTCTTTGTGAAGTGTCTGTATCTGAAGGGGGTATAATCAAACAAAGAAGATTGCCTGATCAATTACAAAACCTTTCAGAACGTATCGGGTTAAGTAGTAGATATTATTTAAAAAATGTTGGTAATACAGAGACTCTTGTTGGAGATGAACTTGCTGCTGATTTAGTACGAGAAAGTAATGTTCATTTTTTGCAACTTAATGCTGTAGAAGTGGCAGTTCAATTAACACTCCAAGATTTCTCTATATTTAGACAAATTGAAGCTACTGAATATGTTGATGATTTATTCCAATTAGACAGCCGATATGGTACACCAATGCTTTCGAAGTTTGCTGAGGTATGGTGAATGTACTTTATTATGAATAAAAAAATGCTTACAATTTTATTTTTTAGTTGGTTAACACAGAAATGTTTTGGGTAGTGACTGAAATTTGTTCAGAACATAACCTTATTAGACGGTCAAAAATGATCAAACAATTTATTAAAGTAGCACGTAAGTTAAAAAAAAATCATTTTATCTATAATAGAATATAATTGATTAACTATACTTTTTCAGAAGTTAATGGTATCCTTTGTTTTATAATTTGAAAAAAATTGGTTTCATTCCTCCTCTCTCTCTTCTTTAAAATAGTATTAATTTTTGAATTTTTAATCGTAAACTTATGGTAAAATAGCTTAAAAATAAGAAAATGCTCTAATTAAAAAATGACCAGTTGCCAACAACTTTTGAACTTGTATTTTGAAAGTTATTAACACTATTATAAAAACTTGAGGTGAAGTGCGAGTATGTTTATTTTTATCTCTAGGCATTTATGAACTACACTATCCTTCTCACCCTAATATAGAATTGCTAATATCTTTTAAAATACTGGTTTAAAAATTGTTATCAATCAATAATTTTTTTAGTTGGATCATTTCCTTATTTTTAGTTGGGTTACATATATGTTTCCATTTAAAAAAAAATTAATTTGATACTATTTTAAAATAGAAAGAAGGGAGATAGGGCCAAGTAATTTTTGAAAATTTTTAGAACATGAGATACTATTAACTTCTTAAAAAAAAATTATGATTTGTTATATATTTTTAAAGATATTAATCACTCTGGATACATAATAGTTTTTTTTATTTATTCAATTGACAGGTCAATGTAAAGAATGTAAAAATTTCAATTCTATGTTTGCCATCATCTCGGGTCTTGGCCATGGTGCAGTAAGTCGTCTACGACAATCTTGGGAAAAACTACCCACTAAGTACCAAAGGTTATTTGGGGATCTTCAAGATTTAATGGATCCTTCTCGAAACATGAGCAAATACCGTCAATTAGTCAGCAACGAACAATCTCAACCTCCAATTGTAATAGCTTAATATTGAATGATTTGGTTTAAGATTTTATATAATCTCTTATTATTTTAAATTTAGATTCCATTTTATCCTGTTGTCAAGAAAGATTTAACATTTATACATTTGGGGAATGATACTCATGTAGAAGATTTAATTAATTTTGAAAAGCTAAGAATGATTGCCAAAGAAGTTAGAAATCTTACCAATATGTGCTCATCTCCATATGACCTACTAACGATGTTGGAGCTTGGTGGACAACCAACATCTAATGCTATGGTAGCTTTAAACCAACTTACAACAGGTGTAAGTG